TCCCCCCACTCCCCCCACCTCATGCACCCACTCCCCTCCCCCCCACCTCATCCACCCACCTTCCCTCCCTCATGCACCCCTCCCCCTCCCTCATCTACTCACTACCCCTATTCCCCTCCACCCAATCCCCCCTCATCCACCACTCCCCCCTCCCCCCCCCAATCACCCACTCTTCCCCCCCCCCCCAATCACCACTCTCCCCCCCCCCCACCTCATCCACACCCACGGTAAAGAAAACGAACTTTCTTGAGCCATTTTCCGAGAGACTTCTTAAGAAATGAAAGATCCTCCTCCTCCATCTGCTGCTCCATAGCTCACGTCTTGTGACTGAAAGAGAGGGAGCAGGAGGAGGAGGGAGGGAGGAAGGGGGGGGAGAGAGGGAGGAGGAAGGGGAGGAGGTGGGAGGGAGGGAAGGAGGGAGGGGGGAGGAGAGGGTGGGAGAGAGGGAGGTGTAGAGGGAGGGAGGGGAAAGGGAGGGAGGAATGGGGAAAGGGAAGGAGGGAGAGAGGAAGGGGGGAAGGAGACGGAAGAAAGGAGGGAGGGAGAGAGAAGTGGGTCGGAAGAGGGAGGGTGGAGTGGGTGAGGGAGGACGTGGGAAGATGTGAGGGGGGGGGGTGGAAGGATAAGGGGGAAGAGGCGGATAGAAGTGGGTAAGAGGGCAGGGTGGACGGGTGGGACGGGAAGGGGTGGGGGTAGGAGGGAGGGGGAGGGAGGGACGGGGGAGGAAGAGGGGGAGAGGGGAGGGGAAAGGAAGAAAGGAAGGAAAACAGGAGGAAGGGTAAGGGAAGAGATTGAGAAGCGGAGGGAGCGGGATGGGCGGAAGAGATAGCGGAAGAGGTGGAAAGGGGAGGGAAAAGGGAAGGAAGGAAGGAGAAGGGAGGGAAAAGGAGGGAAGAGGGAAAATGGCGGGGAGGAGGAGGGAAGAAGAAAGAAGTAAGGAACACATGGACGGGAGGAAGGGAGGGGAGGAGAGTGAGAGGGGAAAATTGAGGCAAAGATAGAGGTGAAGGAAGGGAGGGAAGAGCAAAGGAGAGGAGGGAAAAAGGCGGAAATTGAAGGAGAGTGGGAGGAAGGACAGGGTGCAAGAAAGAGATGAGGGAAAGGAAAGTGGAAGATTAAAGAAGAGAGGAGGAGAAGAAGAAAAAGAGGGAAGTGTGAAGAAAAAGATAAAAGATAGGGATAGAATAAAAAAGAGGAAGATTGGAAAGAAAAATGGAGTAGCGAAGCAGGAGGAGAAAATAAGGAGGAGAGAGGAAAGGAAGGGAGGGGGAGGGAAAGAAGGAGGTAGATGTTAAGGGAGGGAGGAGAAGAAAGAGAATAATATGGGGAAAAAAAGGAGAGGGGAAAAAGAGGGAAAGAAAGTGGAGAGAAAAGGAAAGCTAAAGTAAAAGGAAAGGCGAGCAGTAAAGAAGAGGAAGTATGGAAAGGAGTAAGAGGAAGAGAGAAAGTTAAGGGAGAGAAGAGGACAGTAACGCGGGTAGAAGAGGGGAAGAAAAATGATAAAAAGGAAAGAAGAGTTAGCAGGGAAGAGGAAGAAAGCATAAGGGGAGAGAAGAAGCGAGATTAAAGGGATTAAGAAAAAGGGGAAAGTGAGAGAAGCATGAGAGAAGGAGAAAAAGAGAAAGAGAAGAGAAAAGAAAAAGAAGAGATAAAAAGAGAAGAAGAAAGAAAGAGGAAGAAGAAAGAGGGTAAGAGGATAGAAGAAANTCTTTATCTTTCTCTCTCTCTCCTTCTCTCTTTCTCTCTTCCTCTCTCTCTCTCTTTCTCTCTCTTTCTCTCCCTTTCTCTCTCTCTTCCTCTCTCTCTCTTCCTCTCTCTCTCTATCTATCTATCTATCTATTTATCTATCTGTCTGTATCTCTCTCTCTTTTTCTCTTCCTTTCTCTTTCAATAGCAATCTTTCTTGAGGAGAATTGGCAATGCAGTTAAACGAATTACACAATGTTCTCATATAGATTCACTGCTTATCCTCCGCTTTCTCGCCGCTGGCGCTGGCGCAGGGCGGGACCAGTGCCCCTTGGCTCGGCCCTCGCCTGTGAGACTGATGCGTGAAGCCATTTTGATGATAATTAGAGTCCTTGCATCGGGGTTTTCCAAGGCCGTCGTCGAGGGGCAGCGATGGCAGGCGGTGGGAGGCGAGCGGAGGTCTTCCTTCGGTGGCCTTTGGAAATCAGGACGACGCCTGACCACTGAATGAGGCTCCTCTCCCAGCATGGCCTTCAGGGCGCTCCCGCCGCAAAGTCAAAACTTCTTCGAACATATCCAGATAAGTGCGTCTCATATATATGTGTGCTTGTGTGTGGGTGTGTCAAGTCAAGTCTTTCGATGTCTTCTTGCTTGCTAACGAGGGACTCATTGTCTACGAGCAGACACTTCGTGTACGACTGGGCTCCCGAGCCCCTCCGTCGTCAGCCCCAGGCGAATGCCCTTTGCGGTTTCAGACGAGTCGACTCAGAGACGAGCGGATGAGAGGCCTTCTTTGCTTGAACCCTTTGCGCCGCCTCTCGGAGACGGGTTGCCCTGGGAGGGCGCCTTCGGTCCTCCGCGCTCGGCGTGCAGATCTCTGGAACGGAGAAATCACACGTCGTTGTTTACAGATTGACTTAAAAGTCAAACTAAAACTTGAGTATACAGCATACATTCATACTGTATTTTGCATAATTTTGTTTATATAGAAACTGAAGTAACACAATTCTTGCATTATGTCTGGTATATTTCTGATATACAATATGCTGCTATTTATGATCCCCATGGCAGTGATATTCAGAGTTGGCAGAATGTCGGCCAGGGAGATGAAGCGTGGGAGACGGAGGGGGGCGTTCGACAGGTTAAAAGAAAGCGTTGAAGAGAAAGAAGGATTTAATTGAGAAAGAAAGAATATAGGAGATAGGCAAAGAGAGGGAGAGAAAGAAAAGTAAAAGAGAGAGGGGTAGAGGTAGGCAGAGAGAGAGAAGTGGGAGAAGATAGATAGATAGAGTGAGAGAGAAATAGAGACAAGGGAGAGAATGACAGACAGAGGAAAGGAAGAGCACACACTGAGAGAGGGAGGGAAACAGAGATAGAGAGAGAGATAGACACAGATAGACAGAGGAAGGGAGGAACACACAAAGAAAGAAAAGGAGAGAGACAGACAGGTTGACAGACATAGAGGAACTGAGGGGCATACATAGAAAGATGGACAGACAGACAGAGAGAGACAGACAGACAGGTTAACAAACATAGAAGGGAGGGGCATACTAAGAAAGAGAGAGAGAGACAGACAGGTCGACAGACATAGAGGAAGGGAGGGGCACGCATAGAAATATAGACACAGACAGACAGACAGGTTGACAAACATATAAGGGAGGGGCATACAGAGAAAGAGAGACAGACAGACAGACAGCCAGAGGAAGACAGAAAGACAGAGAGAGATACAGAGACAGACAGACAGGTAGACAGACACGAGAAAGGGAGGGCACATAGAGAAAGAGGAGGGGAGGCAGAGATAGAGAAAGAGAAAGAGAGGAGGGAGGGATTGACAGAGAGAGGACAGACAGGTAGACAACTAGACATAGAGGAAGGGAGCATCACAGAGCGAGACAGACAGACAGACATACAGAAGGGAACAACAGAGAGAGAGTGAGAGAGAGGTAGGCAGGCATATAGGAAGGGAGGGGCTCACAGAGGAAGAAGAGAGAGAAAGAGGGGGGGAGAGACAGAGAGAGATAGAAGGAGGGAGACGGACAGAGAGAGAGACAGGCAGACAGAGAAGTGAGGGAGAGGTAGACAGAGACTAGAAGAGAGAGAGAGAGAGAGAGAAACAGACAGACAGAGAAGGGGAAAGAAATAGACATAGAGAGAAAGAGAGAGATAGACAGATAAGGGGGAGAGGTAGACAGAGAGTGAGGGAGAGAGAGAGAGGGGGGGAGGGAGGGAGAGAGCAGATAAACAGAGAGAAAAAAGTCAAAAGAGAGAGAGAGAGAGAGAGCAGATGAACAGAGAGAAAAAAGTCAGAAGAGAGAGAGACAGACAGACAGACAGATACAGATAGACAGCTAAATAGATAAGGAGAGAGGGAAGAAAAGAAGAAAGGTCTTTTTAATGATGACATCATACTCATTGGATACGTTATCGAAAGACATCCCTGAAGTCATGGCATTGATCTTACATCTGTAAACATTTCTTTGGTGGAAGAAAACATCGAGTGGAAGCCGCCTGTCCCGCTGCGCGAGTCCCTCCCTGGAGCGCTGACTGTGATTTCGAGCGGAAATCTGTTAGAAGATAAGAGGCAACATGGCGGGTTCCCAGACCAACACGACTCCGAGGAAAGCATCTCTGTGGGCCCAGTGCGCTCGCGGCTAGAGCAATGTTTCAGCACACACGCCTGATGAAATAAGCTGATTTCTAAGGTTACCTACAGCTACAAGAAGGAAGGATTGTCCAATATGTTTGCTTTTTTTATCGGACACCAACAATGGTCCAGGGAAAAAAGCTGTTGATAGCAAGTCGCCGCCTTGTCATTGTCCTCAAGAATTGTTCGCCCTGTTATCTTTATTCCGAATGATGGTCAGCGAAGGAAAATGATTATGAATATCAAAGGCTTAGCTCAGAACTTCAATTGCTTCTTTAATTAGTCGCGAGGAATGGTATGGAAAAACAAATATACAAAGTCTTGGTGACTGCGCACTGCCGACGTCACGACCACAAGGCCGGGGAGCCGGAACTCGGTCATTGCGTGTCAGATGGTCAGGTTCAGCCTTTGCACGACTCTCGCATATCGCTTCAAGGTTTATAATATCCCTGTGTGGCTATAGAATGAATCCCGATAAAGACCTAATGCTTCTTATTTCTAAGAAAAAATATTAATGAGTAACTGGAAAATAAAGACTGCAAGAACTCCTGCGAGCGTGCGCGGCCTCGGCCAATGAGCGGCGAGGACGGGCGAGGGGCGGGGACTCTGATTCTCACGGGCGTATATAACTTGGAGGGCAGAGGCGGTTGCGTTTGTTGGATGTGCGGCATGACGGTGTGTGCTGTGTCATGGTGGCTTAGTGGGAGAGATAACACGTGACAGTGAAATACAACAAAACCATGAGAGTGCTTGATATTATTCTAGCGGCGATTCTGCTGCTGATGTTCTCAGGTGTCCTTCTAGAGGCAACTGCCCGTGCGGCTGCAGGAGTCAACCCCCAACAATATATCGAGGATGCGAGTAGAGGTCGCACAGTTCATAACCCGAAAGAAAAGTATTCCATATTGAATGAAGCTCGTGAAACCTTCCACCGTTATCCCCAGGATCCTAGTGAAAAGTATGAGGAAGATCAAGTTGATAACACTGTTACGGAAAAAGACAATGAGGACGACGACGATGAGGAGGAACAAGATTATGAATGGTCAGCTGAAGAACTGGAAATGATCAAGCAGAAAATTTTAAATGGCCTAGGATTGACTACCGTCCCAACTAGATCAAAG